GCCAAAGTTTTTCGGCCGCCACTCACTTCGGCCGCCACTTACTTCGGCCGCCATTCATTTCGGCCGTCATTCATTTCGGCCACAATTCACTTCGGGTGAAGTACTCGTACATTTCGGCGAAAATAGGCCTTGCCTAAACTTAGGGGCGATCCATAAATTACGTACGCAGCGAACCAGGGAGGGAGGGGTCCAAAAAATGTGACAAGCTGTGACGGCCTCGGCGAACCCAGGGGGGAGGGGGGGTCCGCTCCATGTATTACGATTGAACGAACCAGGGGGGAGGGGTCAAGCAAACGTGACGGACCGCTACGAAGGGGGAGGGAGGGGTGAAAAAACCGTGGTTTTCTGCGTACGTAATTTATGGATGGTCCCTTATATTCTGCAGGGTAAAAATAACTGAATAATTATCGTTAGCACGAACTTTTCTTCTATTTCTACTTCATCTTGCACGCACTGTTTTTCAAACAATTTTGGAAGTGCTACTGTCACCAATGCACCATCATGTCTCTCTTTTCCAAGTGTTCTTATTAACAGATCGTCGACCGTCATAAGATCGATCACACGAAGACTAACGTCCCGGGTGAGGTAACCGCACGACACCCAGAAAAACATAAAAAAAGGTAAAGAAATTATCAGATCTTAAAACATCTGAGAATAACCGAAGAATAAATACGAAAACCTAAGAAAGCCAAATATATAAGTTCATAACCTAAGAAACATAAGAAAACATAAGAAAACCTAAGAAACCCAGGAAACTTAAGAAACCTAAGAAACCTAAGAATCTGAAGAAACCATACAAACTTAAGCAACATAAGAAAACCTAAGAAACCTAGGAAACCATAACAAACCTAAGAACCCTAAGAAAACGTAAGAAAACCTAAGAAAACAGAAGAAGACCTAAGAAAACCTACGAAACCTAAGAGAGCCTAAGATGGCCGACATATCCAGTTGCCGAAATGAGCGTTGGCCGAAATGAGTGTTGGCCGAAATGAGTGTTGGCCGAAGTGAGCCACGGCCGAAATGAACGTTGGCCGAAATGAACCTGTGCGGCCGAAATGTAACGCGGCCGAAGTGATCGGACGCGGAATAAATACGGCAGCCCACTTAGCGAATACAGACATCATACGGTCGGCACAGGGAGGAATACGGGGCGAATACAGCAAGAATACAGGGGGAATACGTGGGAATACGGCAGCCCACTTAGCGAATACAGAAATCATTCGGTTGGCACAGGGGGGAATACGGGGCGAATACAACAAGAATACAGGGGGAATTCGTAGGAATACGGCAGCCCACTTAGCAGAAATCATACGGTAGGAATACAGAAATCATACGGTCGGCACAGGGAGGAATACGGGGCGAATACAGCAAGAATTCAGGGGGAATACGCAGGAATACGGCAGCCCACTTAGCGAATACAGAAATCATTCGGTTGGCACAGGGAGGAATACGGGGCGAATACAACAAGAATACAGGAGGAATACGTAGACTACTGTGAAGAAATGATATGGCCGGTTTTATGGAGTGGTACGAAACGTGCCATATCTACAGATTGATTAATAGTGCAGAGAGGAGAACGGAGAAAAGATTTTATCACGACGAGATTTTAGTTCCGATAGCATCAAAATATCGCCTGTGCGCCTTCACAGTTCACACGGCAAAGTTATAGCAAAGTCTCTTGTGCTAATGCGAAGGAAAACAGTTGCCGCTTGCCTCGTATCGATAAAAATTCGCCATGCAGGAATTAGGAAATACTCGTTGCTTTTTGAATGTTAATTGAAAACTCCATCCAGTGAGGATGTAAGTAACTGAACACCTTCTTCTTTGTGAACGTGAAGATTATCTTTCTACGTGAACATTTTTCGATTCCTGGATGGTAAATTTCCCATCATCCAGTATGGAGGGTGGCTGCGGGACGTAGCTGGAAAGATATCCAGCGAGCTGACGTGGCAGCTGTCCCGCAGTACCCAGCGCCCACGACCGTTACCGACGTAAATTTCGTTTCTTTTTGCCTCTTCACAATATTTTCCGTTGCTGAATTATGGAGACTAACACCGTTTCTCGCTCATCGAGCGCAACATACGCTCCTGCACGATCCCGACAAGCAAAACAACCAGTTGCCTGCCCAGATTGTGGGGAGCTTTTTAACCGTCTGGATTTACATCGTAAGAAATCGACTTATCTTAAAACCCAAGCAAGAAAAGAACGAAGTATTTTCCCCGTTGTGAAAACTTTTATTCCCGTTATCGTGCCGTCTGAAAATCATGCCCAAACACTAGAAACGAATGCTGTACAGACAACACACCGGTGGCATGGATGAAGCTGAGTACCTTTGGGTTCGAAATTTTTCGCCTGCCAGCAGAGAAAACGGACTTGTCTGTAACGGCCGTGATACGGCTGAATCTCAATGGCCGTGGCGCGGCTCCGCTTCTTTGCAACCCTCCCCGCCATGCCGCACCCAATCCCAACGAAGCCATAGCAAGTTCCAGGAATGTGCTATTTCGGCAGCAGTAAAAGCCCTCTGCTCCACGGATAACATTATCCGTCCATCCCCAGAATCGGTGTCATTGTTGCAAGAGAAGCATCCTGGGGTGTGCCCATGCGACACCAGTTGACAAGCCCCAAGCTCAGTTCTTGGTCTCTGAAATTACCGCTGACGAAATACTCGATGCCGTCCGTTCGTTTCCACATGGATCCTCAGGAGGTCTGTTTGGTATGCGCCCTCAACACTTGAAAGACTTGCTAGGACACGGAACGAATGAGCATGACAGAAGGCTATCCTTAGGACTTGCTGGTGCCGTTACGAAGATGATCTCGGGGGGTGTACCTGTCGAAATTATCCCTTCCCTTTATGGCGCAACTCTCACTGGTCTTCAAAAGCCGAATGGCGGAATCCGTCCCATAGCTGCTGGCAATACCATCCGCCGCATCGCATCGAAAATCATTAGTCGCAGAATGAAACAACGTATGGTAGAAAAGCTGTTCCCATATCAGTCGGCTTTGGTGTGAAAGGAGGAGCCGAGGCTGCCTTACACGCGACACGCATGTTTCTTAACCAAGAAGGTGAATGCCGTGTACTTATAAAGCTGGATTTTGCTAACGCATTCAACTGTGTGTATCGACACAAGATTTTGGAAATGGTGAAAAGTGTGCCAGAATATTTTTCGTATTTCCTTCAGTGCTATGGAAGGCTGACATCCTTAGCGTTTGGGGAATATATCATCCAGTCAGAAGAAGGGCTCCATCAGGCCAATCCGTCGGCACCCTTGGTATTCGGCCGCGTTACGCTACCAGTAGCAAAAGCCTTAAAATCGGTGTTGAAAGTTGCGTTTTTAGACGACATGACATTTGGAGATGAAGTCGACGTTGTATGCGGATGACGATATGGATCGAGTGAAGTCAGCTGAAATGGGACTGCAACTCAACGTGGAGTAGTGCGAGTACTACATTTTTGGTGGAAGTCCAAAACAGCGCGCAGAAGCTGATGCCGTTCTTATCCAGCGTTGTCCAGGTATGAAGCGCCTTATAAGAAAGACGTTATTCTACTTGGCGCGGGAAGTACCACTGAATCGGTCGGCCCATTGTTAGAAGACAAGATCAGTATGGTGAACATAATGATTTTTTGTCTGCCACTTCTACCGTCTCATCAGGCATTTTTCTTGCTCAAGAACTGCCTGTCCGTCCCCAAACTGATGCACCTTTTGCGTACGAGCGATGCGTTTAAATTTCCGGAAATTCTAATAAAATTTGAGTCATCGGTATGCAGAAGTCTGGAGGAAATTTCAAACGTAAAAATGACCAACGAAATCTGGAAACAGGCATCTTTGCCGGTAAGAATTGGCGGCTTAGGCATCAGACGCACCGAAAGACTAGCCCCTTCGGCATTCCTCGCCTCGGTCAACTCGGTGCGCCCGTTGGTTGAACAAATGAGCGCCAAGCAGAACGAAACATATGCGGCAAGTGTGGAACAAGCGTGGATATCAATGGGACCATCCGAACTTCCTGCTGAAAATTTGCGCGCTTCACAGCGTGCTTGGAACATTCCGGTTGTCCTCCTCCAGAAAGATGCAGTAGTACAGGAAACCAACTCGGTTAACCATAAGGCCCGGCTTCTAGCTGTTTCTCAACCCCAAGCTGGACTGTGGCTGAACGCGGTCCCAGTGGCAAGCCTCGGCACTATGTTGTCCAGTACCGAAGTCAGGCTATCGATTGCTCAGCGAATCGGCGCCCCAGTATGTGTCGAACTTTCCCGCATAACGAAGTCAGAGATGTGATCCACCGCGCGTGTGGGTCAGCCAGTATCCCTTCTGTGCTCGAGCCATCAGGCCTTTATCGCGATACCCAGAAAAGGCCGGACGGCATGACCACGGTTCCTTTCAGTCAGGGTGTGGGACGTCAGCTGCCCAGATACCATGGCCACCAGCTACATTCCGAAGACACTCCAGGAAGCCGGCGCAGCCGCCGCCATGGCAGAGGCAAAGACAAACAACAAGCACGGCGTGTTTTGGCGTGACCGTTTTATTTTTTCCGCTACGGTTTTTGAAACAATGGGCGTATGGAGTAAAGAATCAAAGTCTAAGATCAGTATACTTCAGTGCTTGGTAAGATGCTTTTTGAGCGGACACATGTAAAAAGGTCCACCCAGTTCCTGAAGCAGAGAATTAGTGTTGCTCTGATGCGGGGTTATGCTGCTTGTGTTCAGGAAACGTTTTGTATCGGTAAGAGGTTGGATGAAGTGTATTATGTATTGAAATTATGTAACGCGTGATTATGTGTTTGACAATTATTGTTAATTCGAATAACCCAATAAAGAGCAATTACTTCAAGTACAGTACTAATCTTTGGGCAGAAGAGAAGAAGCCGTCAAATAACAAAAGTTGTGGCCGCCCTGAACGACAGGTACGTTAAGAAACGCGGATGGTTGGTAATAAAATAATGGTGGTGGACGTTGCATATCAGTTTTAATTGCAATCTTTTCGCTGCACTCATTAGTAGCAAATGACAATCTTCTCAAAACCCCTGATTTAAAATAATTTATATTCCTGTTTTATTGAAATAAAGGCACTAGAGTAACCCTCCTCTGTGGCGCCGAGAGTTTTACGACTTGTATCGCGACGCCTGTGGGTCGCGTGCCCAGCGAGTAATCCGCGATGTTCGTGTACGGAGACGAGATGCAACGGCTGTGCGACTGGAACGCCGTGGACGTCCTGTTCGACGACGGCCAGCTGCAGCACGGCGCCGTCATCAACGTGGCGCCGGGCGGCCTGATCGTCGATTTCCGCTGTGCGGGACAGCGCGCGCAGTTCATCGAGTACGGGCGCATTTTCTGCTGCAGTTCCAAGCAGAGATGGAGCCCGCAACGGGACGGCGAGCCGTTGCAGGTGCTGCTGCGGCGCCCGGCGGACGGCGCCTGGGTGTGGTATGCCGGGCAGTCGGTGGCCATGGGATCGATCGGTTGTGGCTATGTGGAAGGCGTGCAAGTGCAACTCCCTATGGGACCGTCAAGGAACTGGTTCCCGACGGACAAGTACGCGCACCGCCCACGGACGCCGGGCTCCAGGAGCGGCGGGTGAAGAAGGATGATTTTGTGGTTCGGCGCTGTGCGTTGCCGGCGGGCTACTGGTCGGAGGCGTCCGCCGCGGTCCGGGAGATCTTCCAGTACGAAGTCAACCAGCGCTTCCACGTGCAGTGCACCGCGGTGCTCAGCAAGACGCTGCGCTATCTCCAGTGGAAATCTGAAACGCGAGTAACGGCTCAACAAGTGGTACGTTCATGTTTAAAATTATTGTCGCTCGTAATTAAGCAATAATACAATTCGTTATTAATATTTATAATCATTAAAAAATAATAATTCATAATCAGTATTACCTATTTAGTAATAAAATGAACGTAGATATTTATAAATAATTCGGAATCAATGGTAATAACTAATAAGTAGGAAAATTAATAATAATATTAATAATTCGCACTCAAATATTAGTGAGTCTGCGGTATCCGCCGTAAACCGTAAAACGGGCACCGCTTTTAATCAAAAGTACAAAGTTAGACTGCTTAGACAGAGCGTGTGTCTAACGAATTTCTGTCTGCTCCCTTGATTAAATGCGTTTTATTGCTTCCCCAGGCGGATATCGCTGACTCACTATTACAGAGAGATTGTCGTTGTTCTTAATCCTTCAGCGGTTTAAATTTAATGTGAAAGTGTTTAAATTTAATTGTGGAGTAACATGCCCGCGTTTGGGATTTTTTTCTATTTTATTGGCTACAGGCTACAGCCTATTAGAGCGTTTATAATAAAAAAGTTCCCTCGCGTAAAATTTACTTACTGTATATACGTTTAAACGATCAATATTTAAATGGATGTTCGTTGATGCAGGAGGACGAGTATAAGAACACCGTGAAGCACAACGACGAGCTGGGTCGCACCACCATAACCTGGAAATGGTTGCTGCGCCAGCAGGAGGCCGAGAGCGCTCCGCAGCGAAAACGAAAGATTCCCGGCAGCCAGCCCGGGAGTCTGCCGCTGCCGGTGGAGCTACTGCTGGAGGTCTTCCGCGCCCTGGACTCCATCGGGCGCTTCCGGTGTCGGCGGGTGTGTGACGTGTGGAACGCTCTCCTCACCACCGACGCCTACTTCCCCGAGGTGCGCGTCTCCAACACGCCAGCGGATTACGACGGGGTGCTACATTACGATCATTCACTGTACTGGATAACTGTCTCTGTGCTGAAAAGTTTCAATAGCGCCACGAAAATAGCGGTAAGTTTCGTTTATTCAATGAACAGACAAAACCCCGAGGCGCTAGTTCAAGGTTGGTTAGTACTGAAAGTGAAGCGAGAAAACTGGACCTGAAGTTGGTTTTGAGAAAAATCAGTTTTTGGACCCGAAAAAATGTGCCATCGATTTTTGACGGTGTAAGACTTAGCCACAATTTCCGTTCCAAGGAGTCAAATTTCAATTGTGCACGAATCCCACTTGTGATTCGAACCGACGGTTATTAATATTCTTAGTCTTTCGCCACCGACGAAAGCCACGTTTTCTTGAGCATAGAGCATCTCCGCTTCGCTTCGGTCCATTACAAAATGTCCCTAAATTTTAGTAAAGATAGGTAATTCCCAAACATGTGTTCCGCCCTATAGGTGTTCACGGGCATCGAGCTGTACGAATTCTCCGAATTGACCAACCTGATTTGGGGCATGTTCCAACGTGCGGGCAACTTGTCAGTGGTGGTGTTGTACAAGTGCAATTTCAGCGAAGAGCACGGCTATGTGGACAGTGCTGTCCACTGCATGGCTCAACAGGTCGTGCCGGATGGGTCGCGCGGCCGCATCCTGTGGCGACAGTGTCGCTTGGGGGATGAGAACATTACAGCGGCGATCGCGCACCATGCCGTCCGCGGCCAGACGGAAGGGGAGCGCCAGGAGGAGCTGTGGGAGCTGGTGGAGCAGAATCTCGTCCTGAAGAAACCGCTGTACCGGACGGCACTGGCGGCTTGGGTTGCCGACTGCGTTGCGCAGCAGCGAACCAAGGACATCAAGTGGATTATCGAGGTCAGCATTTGGTGGTGCAAAAAATTATTAATTAACGCAAAATGTTCTCGATTTAAACTCAACAAATACAACGGTCGAACGCAGACCTAATATTTCAGAGAAAAGGAAACCTTTTGGGCGATGTTAGAAATTTAGACTTGAAAAAACTGGTGGAACGCTGACTGGGTGTAAAAGCAAGAAACGTTTGGCCCATGATGAGACTTTTGGTACACCTGAATGCATTTAAACTTTAAACGCGAATGTTTCCACTTTCCAGTCACTTGGTTATAAAATGTGACTGAACAATGCAAAGTAGTCTGTAAAAACAAACGTTTGTGTGCTTGTACTGATTGTACGAGTACATCAATTTGGTGTTCTGTACCGGGTGCACATGCCTGGAAGCTGCCTAGTATTGTACCTTCACCTTGGCATTTCCTTTTTGTGCGCTCTTCAACTGCAGAGTACGAAGAACAGTTAACAGTGGATTGTTTAGGTCATGCGCCGCTACCAGTGGCTGGACCCGCGCAAGTCCACTACCTACCGCAACCGGAAGTGGACGTCGGCTACTCTGGGCAGTCTGGACGTCAGCAAGGTGACCACGCTGACGGCGGCGGTGCTGAGCGAAAGCATGGATCGCTCGGATGAATGATTCGGCTGTTAATAACAATCCAAATATGACGGTTTCCTCGTACTGCGTTGCAGTCGTTGTATAAATCTAGTTTTATTCGGCATCAGTCAGCACACATATCAATTCGCCTGCGCAGATTTAACAAATTTACACATTAGAAATCCATCCGAAATCTCTGTTGTCATTCGTGATGTAAGGAGTGTATTGTACTGAGCCTGTTTTTAGCGGAACCTTTTAGAAAGTCGTCATTAACAGCCAACCAATAAATGCACTGCTTGTTTTGTACAATCACTGTAGTTACGGGAACATTGTAACGAAAACCATCTACGTGCAGCAAAGTACATTTTGTTCACAAATAATGTAAACAATAATGTCGTTCGCATGATGGGTATACGAGTACAAAGTCATAACAGTTTGATTAATTCGGTACCGCCAACCAGCGCCAGGAAGCTCGATCGATTAACTTTATTCGCGTAACAGCATCATATGCTATGACTGAAAACGAGTTGTTATCCGGATGAGCCTTCGGGCTCCAAATATTAGTCCATGTCTGCATAACGCAGAAAGAGGCACATTCAATTCCGTCTTTTCGCGGACTTCGTCAAAATTCTGACGCCTAATGGCAGCACTGATGCGTGAATCAGCACTGCTTTAGTACGGTTTCGAGAAAAAGCAATTGCTGCGAAAGCGTATCTCATAAATTCAGCTAAGTGGTAATTATGTAGGCAGCCGACTGGAAAGTTGAAATGTAACCGAAATTTCTCACCGCCTTTGCATAAAGATTTCATAGTGTGCGTTAGCAGAGCAACGTACTCCGTAACTCGTGGCTAACGTTTACTACGCGGTAGCCCGCAACTTCGAACAAAAGTCCATAAATTCACTATGTATCCATCAGCGAAGGTGAATACGTGCGCAGCTCTACTGGCTTTATTTCTCTCCACAGCGGGAAAAAGCAGAGGTAAAGCAGTCCAAAATAACAGCTTTGAAGTTGAAATTTTGTGAAGGAAAAGTTACAGTAATCTTTAATTTTATAAACAGGATTGACTCTTCAATCGCCATCAGTGCATACTGCACAATGTAAAAATTGTAAAGTAAGAGTATCAGTAAACATAAATTCTTAATTTCATTTTCGATCAGCTAACTGAAGTGCAGAATACACGTTTTCTTTAATTGGTAATTTCAGTAAGGCAAAGCGTTTATTCCGTTTTGCAGGCGATGAATTGAACAATGGAGATGTCGGTATGTTTTCGCCGCTGCCGGACTTCGACACTGAGCTAATGACGCGCGACCAGTGCGAGCTGCAGTTCACAGCTAACCGGAGGGCGCATCAGCGTCGGCAACTCGTTGGCCTGCGCCCAAAACCACGGTCTGGCTGTTAACTGCAGTGAAAATGCGACAAACGAGGAAGTACACACATTAGCGATAGCGCTGTCGCAACCGCCCCTGAAGGCGGTTTCCATCAGTCTGAACGACGGACCGCAAATAACTTTCGACAACCTGGCACCGGTCCGCGAGCAGACCGTGCTATTCCACTTGCGCAACTGTCGTTCGTCGCGCGCCTCGGACAAGCTGGCTCAACTGCGCCTGCCGCATTTGCTGGAGTTTGCCGCACATAACTGCCGCGCGCTGGACGTGCGCCGAGCGGACTTTTGGCGGTCGAGCAAACTGCGCCTGGTCCAGTTCGTCAACAGCACGCTGGAGTCCCTCGAAGCCGGCACTTTCGCTGATTTGCCCGGATTGCGACTGCTCTCGCTGGAGCGTGGCCTCAGTCAAAAGGAACTCTTCCCGGAAGACGTACAAGCGTATCTGATGCGGCCACACTGTGGCCCCGAGTTCGAGCCGTTCAGACGTTGGTGGCGCGTCAGCGGCTTGTTGCAACAAGCTTCTGAAAGCGCTGTCTATCGCATCGAGTACGATTCCTGGAAGAACGAAGACCTGGGCAAACGGGACGTCTTTGTGCCCATAGACTGTGCCACGGCGTCGTTTCCCAACGGATCGGCTACTGTTGACTTTACGATGGAAGTTTTTTTCCGCTAACGAAGACCTGCGTGAGTTACTTGTAGAGTAACCCTGCACTTGACAGCTTTTTTAACAGCTGAGAGAGACGTACGCTGTACGAACACATGCACGATTCACATGTGCTGCCTGCCTAGTGAGTGCAGTGCAGTCGGCTCTGAGCCAGCTGAACGTTTGCCAGTACTACACTGCCGTACGAGTACAGCTCATATCGTACGAAAAAGCTGTCAACTGCAGGGTTACTCTACAGTACTACTACTCAAATTTCAGTTTGAAGTCTGTTTCTCAGGTCGCTTCAGATTTATATAATCCTTTCAGACCCTGACAAGTTTGGCCACCGCTGTGTCCACTCCACGGACGCGGATGAGGAATTCCCCACGTTTTCCAGCGAGCCGGTAACGGCGACGGAATGCCAGATCTTCACCATTGTCAACTGCTACTCACTGCAGCGGGATTTGTCTAACTTCAAGAATTATCCATTTACTCCGGATGGATTGGGCGAACAACCGCAACCAAACTGCAGTGGCGAACCACAGAAACGCGAAATCCAGGAGATGGCCAAGCAACGGCTCCGACCCACCACCCTAACCATCAGTGAGGACTGGAATGTCACATGCGTCGACGTGGCGCCCATTCGGCGGACCGTTGTCATCTTGGACATGGCCGGCTGCACGGGGGTCCGTGCGACGCAGCCGGCAAACGATTTGCGGCTGAACAATCTCCTGTACTTTGGTATAATGTTCTGCAGTGATCTGGTTGTGCAGCGGAGTGACTTCCAGCGCTTACCGAAACTGCGGGAATAACTGTTTAGCAACTCCACGCTGCGTAGCCTGCAATTCGACGCATTCGGGGCGCTGGGTGATCTGCGTCTGCTGGCGCCGGAGTTTGATTTCTACTACATGCATGGCGCCATCTATTCGGACACGCCGGCCGAGGATCTCGATCAACGGATCCGTGATTACCTGTGGCGACTGCATTGCGGCTGCGATTTCGCCTGGTTCCGGGGCCCGCGCTCAAGCTCTGACTCAGACTCTGACCGCTCAAACTCTGACTCTGACTACTCAAAGTCTGACTCTGACTGTCCAAACTCTGACTCTGACTCTGACTGAATAACCTAAGAATGACTTAAGAAACCTAAGAAACCTAAGAAACCTAAGAAACCTATTAAGAAACCTAAGAAACCTTCAGAGTCAGAGTCAGACTTTGAGCGGTCAGAGTCAGAGTTTGAGTGGTCAGAATCAGAGTCAGAGGTCAGAGTTGGAGTAGTCAGAGTCAGAGTTTGAGTGGTCAGAATCAGAGTCAGAGTCAGAGTTGGAGTCTAGGCCTGGTTCCGGCAGTGGTGGACGAATAACACACGCGGCTGCTGCACGGCGAGCGCATTGACTCGGGCGGGCGAGGTGTGGGCTTTTCGGGACTTTATTAGAAACCAGCCGTACAATCGAGAAGATGTATTCCTACTCTGTACCCATAGACTGTGCAGAACCGATTCCGCCGGCTGCCGCGAATATCAACATCACAGAAACCACCTTTTCACGCCATGAAAGACCGTGTACTGGGCACTAATATTCATAATAACGTTATACGTTTTAATAGGCAGTAGCCATCAAATAACAAAAAGGCAAGCGCGGGCACACTACATCACAGTTAACATTTAAACATTAAAAAAACAACCAAAATCTCTATCCCCCCGCGGGTTAAAAGACAAAGTACTTAACACGGCAGTAGCATTTCCCTTAATGACACCAAAACAGGCCCAAACTAAAACTTTGCTTGATAAAAGCAGTAGAACGCGCTTCTCCAGTTAATTCACGAATTCTATTTTTCGGCCCATGAAATGTACCAGTTTGCTCAAAGCCGGGCCGAAAACTCCGAAAACTCCCAACGTTTCAATCACTAAAGGATAAAAATGGTGTCGATTTTACTGTACGAACTTTACTGTACGTGTTTTTTACTGTACGTGTGTGGTTACTGTACGAAAAATCATCTGACAGATACGTGCCCAGAAAGCTTAGACTATCATTGCGTATGTGTGAACTGTAAAGGCGCCGGTAAGCTTTCTCATACAAATTCTCATTCGGCCTTTAATCATGAATATTGCGAAGTTTTTCAAAGTTTGAAAAGGTCTAGGTTTTTCTTTAACACCGAGCGAAAAAACGTGCAGCACCCTCGATAATTTCAAAGCCGACAACGAACGAGGTTTTTGCTAACTTACCAGCTGTTACAAAAATCATGACAAATTTAAACAAATTTACGAATAACAAAAAATTTCACAAAGTAAAAATTCGTTATTGTAATGCTAACAGTGTAAATTGTAAAATTGACCAGGTAAAACTTTTCTGTTCTGCGGCTGATATTACTGGCATAACCGAAACTTTCGAACAGTGTGAAGAGCCCGAGGAAGATTGTCTTTTCGCTGATCTACGATCGTTTAATGTTTTCGTAAACCGAGAATTGGCAAGTTTGGTGGTGGTGTAGCACTTGTCATTCGTAAAAGTTATAAAGGATATCGACGGCATGATCTAGAAATTCCTTTGTCGAAGCTCTGTTTGTTGAATCGAAAATTTTGAACCGGTTATTCATTGTTCTCTACGCTCCACCTGACAAATGCCAAAAAGCTGTTCCTATGCTCACTGAACATCTGCGCAATAAGCTTTCTCCGAATACGCTTTCAAAGACTGTGCTGATGGGTGATTTCAATTTTCGCGACATTGACTGGCAACGCGGAACAGGATCCACTAGCGCCAGTCGTGACCTGTTACGCGCCGTAAATGAGTTTGGTTTTGTGCAGATTATAGATTTTCCTACCAGAATGAGCAACTGCCTTGACCTTTGTTTGCTTGATAGAAAAAGTTTATTTGAACCAGCTGAAGCAATATCTCCGCCCTCCTGCACAAATGACCACGTGGGTTTTCAGTTTACGCTAATTACCAAAAAATTCAGAATGAAAAATAAAACGATAAAAAAGTGGAAAATCGATAAAAATAATATTGGTAATTTTTGGAATGTTTTGAATCGCACAGATTGGGCTTCTTTATTTTGCAATCATGACAGTAACAGTCGAGCAGCAGTTTTCGAACAAGTTTTCATTCAAGCAGCCAGTCTTTGCTTCGAATACCGTAACGTTGTTATTCGAACTGGAAAGGTCACGTATCCGTCTAGTATCAAAAAGTTAGTTAAAATGCGTGATCGAGCGTTCAGAATTTATCGTCAAGCAGAGCTGCCACTAAAAGATTTTTTCAAAATAAAATGGAAATCTCTGTCCAAGCAATGCGATCGTTTAGTAAAAAAATTTGAATGCTCAAAAATAACGGATGTTGCGTTATCGCACCGAAATAATCCAACAAAATTTTGGCGATATGTAAAATCTACCTCCGACCGCAGTGGCATGCCGCCGCTAAATTTACTCAACGGCCGCACCGCGGTCTCTGACACCGAAAAGGCGAATGCTCTAAACTTACAGTATCGTGAATCACAGTCCACGTGTGGATCGCATTGTAATAATTCCGGATCGTACTTAATTTGTCGAAACGAAAGTGTTTGGGAAATAACAGAGCTACTCGTACTGGAACAGTTAGTAAAATTATCTACTAAAACGTCAAGCGGAAAGTTCGTTATTACCAATCAGTTGTTAAAAACTGCTGGTATGTCAATAACTCGGCCACTGAAAATGATTTTTGAAGCTGCGTTACATGAAAGCAAGTTTCCGTCTGTTTGGAAACAATCATTTATTACGCCAATCCCTAAATCTTCATCTGACGTGCGGTTACCAGTAAGCTATCGGCCTGTATCTATTCTCCATCCTGTGTCAAAAATCTTTGAGAGGTGTTTGGACAGTCTGATGCGTAAGTTTTTGACTGAGAGCAATGCATTGTTTGATCATCAGTTTGCGTATCGTAGTAAAATGTCAACTGAATTGCAGCTGTTTATTTTACTAAGGTAATTAGTGATTTTATTTCAAATGGCATAGAAGTTGATGCAGTGTTTTTAGACTGTTCAAAAGCATTTGATAAATTGTCGCACGATTCGATTGTAAAAGCCCTTGTAGATTTAAATCTACCAAACCAGATTGTGCATCTAATTTATGACTACCTTAAAGGGAGATCTCAGTGCGTCACCGTAGATGACGCTATTTCTGACATTTTATCAGTAATAAGTGGTGTACCTCAAGGGCCAGTTCTAGGTCCACTTCTGTTTATTTGTGTATTAAACGCAATTCTTGCCGTGCTTAAAAACGGCAGCAAAATTTTTGTGTTTGCTGATGATATGGTAATTTTGCGCCCCGTGATTAATAACAACGACTGCAAATTACTGCAAGAGGATATCGTCTGTGTTAGTGACTGGTTAAAAGGAAACTGTCTGTCCTTAAACGCAGAAAAATCAGTGCATGTTTGTTTTTCCTTAAGGCGCGAAATTATGAGCTGTAACAATTACTACATAAGTGGCAGTAATGTTCAGAAAAGTGATGTTGTCAAATATTTAGGTGTTCAGGTTGATCGTAAACTAAGCTGGAAAGAAAACTGCGAAAAACTGTTCTCCAAATGCAACCGAAGAATTATGTACATTAATCGATTATTTAAGTTTTTTCATTCCGGCGCTAAAATCCGACTGTTCGAATCTTTAGTTTTACCGGTAATTGATTATTGCGCTTCCTGTGTCCACCCAGTACAGATAATGTCTAGTGATAACATTGAAAAATGCCAGGTTCGCTTTCTTAAAAGCATTCGTCTCGGAAGTGATTTGTCGGATTACGAAAAACGCTTAAAGGAACTAAAGTGGGATAGCCTCAAGTTACGCCGTAAAAAAAAGCGCTGGTTTTGTGTATAAATTATGGTTTTGTAAAGTCCCGCTTGGTAACTTTTGTTTTGTAAAGTTTGTCGGTTCGGCTGCTGCGCTTCATTCTGTTGCAGGTAGTACTCGTCACTGCGTATATATGACTCTCCATCCTCACCCAATAATGCCGGCTCCAACATCGGTATGTGGCACTACCGTGACTGCTGTCCATGGATCGCACGTAGAGCAACTTGCGACGTTGTGGAATGAGCTTCCGTTACCTCCAGAAGCCTACAAGTCCCTCGGTGCATTCCAGAAGGCACTCGACGACGTGGATTGGATGAAACTTGCGTGGATTAAGAAGCACCCTCTGTGGGTTAAGAAGCAGTTTGCTGCTGGACATGTTTGTGTCGTTGTTGTTTCGTTAAATTCCAGCTGAAACTTACTGTATAGGCAGCAAGTGATGTCTGTAAAATCCGTTCGATCTTGCATATAACATCCTTTTTCTCTGCATGAAAATTTGTGTGTTTTTTTTTTCCATCTTCTCTGTCTCAGCTTAAAGGGGGCAATGCTCCGTAGCGAAGGACAATAAATTCCGTTATTTATTTTCCAGTGGAGAGTATTTCCGTCGCTTTGCGTTTTCTTTATAACGTTATTAAACATAAAATCAAATCGAACAAAAATTCAAATTTAATCGATGCAGTTATTTTAGGAAAGTACGTGCTTAATACGATTCAACTGAAAAGATTATTGAAATGTATAGCATTACTAAAATTTAATACAGAAAACCAGTACAATACTCTTACAGGTAGCGACTACTAGCTTTATTGGGCAAAAGCCATCAATACAACAAAAAGTGCATACGCAGAATACTACGCAAAATGATTTACATTTAAACATTAAAAAAAACAACCAAAATCGTTAGCGCTATCAGTCATTTTAGAACGCA